TAATGCAGATGCCTGTCACTGAAATGACATTTTGCGAATGCTGATCTTCACATGAACCTCCCAGGAACCTGTGTATTCCGGGAATGTCCGGTGCAATACACAGAATCTCCACGCTTTGCATGTATAACTTGGAGAGTCATGGGTAGCCTAGATAGCCATGGTAAGAATCTACTGCAGAGAACTTCTAACCCAACGACCAACTACAACTGCACATGAACCTTCAAGTAGGGCGTTTGTAGCAGAGCCGTGGGAACCGAAATGACCCGCCTGCTGCGCCTGCTGAGTACCACGGATCGTCACAATCCGATCAGTAAGCGAGGGAGGGGTATTGCCGTCCTTGGAGGCTCTCTCAGGACTCAGGACTTGCATTCTCGCATGCACGTGAAGAACTGATGGATACTCTTCTTTGCCATTGCCCATACAGCTGCTGTGCTGCGGTTGGAGATGGTTAGAGCGAATGATACTGCTGATGCTGCTAATGATGATGAGAGGAGTCGTAGTGCTCTGGCCATCCTCCCTGTTGCGTACGGCAAGGCTGATACGATTGTTGTCAACCTTGCTTTGGGCAGTACTGTTCTTCCGGTTGCACGGTTCTGTCATCATTTCCGGCACATGTAGGCAGGACGCCTGAGATTGTTGATGCGAAGACTAAAAATCCTGCATGACCTTATTCTACTGCAGCACCATAGTTCCCAAGGTTTAGGATGCTCAGGGTCATGCAGGATCTTTAGTATCCACCTATACACTCCAATCTAAGCCCACTTTTTGTTTCATTTTCCCTGCTCTGTTCCATTTCATTCTCCATCATCCCTATTCCCCATGTATACATGTGTATATATATCTATGTGTGTGTATATATATGCATATGTATATGTCTACATATGTGTGGATATACATATATATATATATGTATATCTCCCCCGACCCTCCTAAACCCTAAACCCCTTCAATACATTCCGGGACTGGCTGAGAAGGATGCGTCGGACACCGCGATGTCCGCACCCGACCTCGGTAAAATTGGCTTATGCAGGGCTTATATAAGATTGCATGGGGTTTTCTCTTGGGATTACGCAGGGTTACATGGAATCTATAGAGAGTTATGTAGGGATTATATAGGGTTGAGGGATATTACCCAACAACGAATCAAATGGAATGGGATTATGCACGGGTTCACAGGGCCTGGGGTTCCCAAAAATTAGGTCCCTTTCTGGGGTTCCTATAATACGGATTGTAGTAGTTTGGGCTCTGTATTGGGTTCCCATTATTTGTGGAAACTACCAAATGGAGTTTGGTCGAAAATGGGACCCTAAACCCCAGAAATTCCCCTGCATTATAGCCAATATATTACATATTTCCTTATTCCCAAAACTTACAAAGTGCCAGATTTGTAGCAAGGCCCCACCTAGCATTGCGCACAGGGCCTCTTCATCAACGAAGCTGACTCCTTGCTGGGGATGCTTTAACTGGATCGATTTGAATCTCGGGTCAGGATACCAGGTTTTGGGTTTTGGATTTGGGGTCTATTACCTTGACACTCCCAACTTCCAAGCAATCCTGACCTCTTACTGAGCTTATAAACATATACATTGCTGACAGCCCTCCAGTTGAATGGTCTGGCCAACTTTGGCATCTGAGGGAGCTGCGATTGAGCTATCCGCCCAACCTTAATCCGCAGGCAGGCTGAAACGAATGTCATTTGCTTTAATTGGCTTTAATGCATACTAGCGCGGTCATGGGTACAGAGTAAGTATCAGCCTAAGCTACAGGCCATACAAAAAAGCAGGCATCCCTATTATCAATATACTTGCTGTCCCCCGACGCTTCAAGCAGATGGGACATGAAAGGTGCCCGCAAGGCCATATACATACATCTACAGAGGCATCTCATCTTTCCCCAGAAGGAGTCGGGTCCTCAGCATGCACAAAGGACAGAAGAAGAGTCCCAACATGTTCAAGTGACTGGCCTCAGAGCTCACCATGTTATACTCTGTTTAGGGTTTAGGGTTTAGGGTTTAGGGTTCCCCAGTAAACTCCAAATAATAAGGGTACCCTTTTTCCTACTGTTCTGTTTTAATGGGGAGACCCCTCTTATACAGATCTTGTTTGTTCTGAACATAAGCTTCACAGGGTGCTTGCCAACCTGCATGCCAGACACTAAACCATTAACCCCAAACCCTAAACCCAGACCCGACCCTAACCCATGAATTTTCGTTAGTTTTGTACCCGACCTTTGGCTGACCTTGTACTTTTTCATTCGAATATGGGGGACATATAGGGGATATGTAGGGGTTATATAAGGGTGATATAGGGGTTATATAGGGGATATACTGGGATAATGGAAAAGAAAATGGAAACTACTGTATGACCTTCAATTTCGAGATCCCCTTCCCCACGCAATTCCTGGCCATTCAAAGCACGGTGTCCAAGATTGAATGGCGTAAGTGCCTAACATCTGCACCATCCTCTCCCACGAAGAGCTCGGCAGCTTCTGCAGGGACCTTGCTTTTGACTGGTGGTTGCTGGTCTGATTCAGTAGGTTCCATTTTCTTTTCCATTATCCCAATGTATCCCCTATATAGCCCCTATATCACCCTTATATGTTGAAAAGCTCATGGTGATACTAACGCCGTCCGACCAGTTGTCTGCTTGTAAGGATGCGGCAAGGCACCGAAACGGCACTGATTCTGGCATCCCGGCCAACTCGAGCTACTCATCCCATGGCGATACCCGGCACATTTTGCTCAGCTCTATACAAGGTTTGCATCTTGCCGTGCATCCAGTTAGGGTGTGTAGCCAGCCCTGTGTTTGGTGCTGGGTTGGAGGCGTGAGCCAAACTTATGGGAACAATGTTGGCCTTACAAACCAGTACTGACAAATTGAGAAAAACGGTTGTGCTTGATTCTGTTGCAAACTGAAAGCATGGAAAAAGCAGCCAAAACTATGGAGCTTCTCCTAACATCTCTGGCTTCATGACTTGAAAATGTTCGGTCAGCTCCTGAATGCCATGACAAGTCAAATCTTCGGCGCCACCGCCGCCGCTGCCGCAGCCCCTGCTGCGGCTGTTGGTCTGCAACCCGGTGGCACATCAGCCCTTGTTCTGGTGTCAAAAGGAGAAATCTCACTCTCTACTAGGACCCTCACTACTCACTAATCACATAGGGTCGCCTCAAGACTTGAATGCCTCTGACATACCAAGTTTGGTCCTTGTACATGTGGGGATGTACTACTTCAAGCACAGGCAGGGCTTCAGCTGGCTTTTCACAAGCTGAGAATCGAGGACGCAGCGCTCTGTGTTAGAGACGACGAAGCTCGGCGACATCCGATACCCAATTTTGAATCCTAAAACTTAGCTCTATCTTTCCCTCAACTCTGCACATTAAATCTTGAAACCCTGTAAATCCCTCCATAGCCCAATAGAACCCTGGTAGCCTGTAGTTATCTAGGCCCCTGCAGTATGAGACGCACCGACACTGGGTGAATGCCGCCTCGAGCACGCTCGACCCCCAGAAGAAATCGGATCCCTCCCCCTGAGTATGACAACACCCACCCTTCTGCCAAGTGTGAACAGGAATTTGGGGATGAATACTGTGACGGGTACATTGCCCAATACTGGAATATCAAATGGACAGCAAAATGGAGCGTGAAATGGAAACTGAGATGATACGGTCGCATCGCAATCCCTCAGCCAAGTCTTTCCCAAAGGGTTTGTTCATTGGACGGAGGAGAACACACGGTTTAGGGTTTAGGGTTCAGGGTCTAGGGTCAGGGGGAGGGAATTAAGCCTGAGACAGACAAGCCGCCTCACATGGAGTTCTTGGAGGCCTGGCCAGGCCAAGCGTCGGATTCAGCTCCATATGACTTAGGTTGAGGGTTTGGGGTTTGGGGTTTAGGGTTTAGGGGGGTTACTGCCCCTAAACCTTCAGGGTGAGGGTTTGTTTAGTTTTTAGGGTCCCCACCCTTTGGCAGTTTATGGGGTCCTATTAAGGTTTTTATATGACTATAGTATCAACAGTATCCAACTGTTACAGAGTGTGGGCAGTCCCCAACCCATCAGGGTAGATTCCTAGGGGCTCCCAAATAGGGAAGTATATATAATCCCCATGTAAACCCTATACTACCCTGTTTTTAGCAGGATCCATGTCATTATCCATTTGAACTTCCATTTCATTCTCCATTACTGGGAGTAATATCCCTAAACCCTAAACCTAAACAGTGGCTTCCGTTCTGCTATCCCTTTCCTGCATAAGGATACTATCCCTTTGCAGCTCTTGTTCTTATAGGCTCTTCCCTGTCTAGAGGTTGTGGGGGATAGTCCCTGGATAAGGCTGTGACCGCAGCTGCCTGTCGCATCTCGCAAAATGGCTCTCGCTGCTGCTCAGGGCGCAGGTTTAGGGTAACCCTAAACCTAAAACCCTTAAATCCTGAACCCTAAAACCCTAATATCGAGGCCCGGATTTAGGAGGACCCCCTACCCTGTAATAGTGATATAGTAGGAATATACTGGGACCCTAATATCATCCTTCTAGCCACTATTACAGGGTGGGGGGGGGCTCCTCCTAAGTTATTATCAAGAAGCACAAAGCTCCCTACCATCAAGGCTCCAGCCATATGAGCCCTAGATTGGAAATAGTACCTGCGCAGACCTAGGAGAAAGCTTTTCTCCAGTCCTATGCGGCCCTGTAAGACCCGCTATGAAACCCCCAAGGCAGCCAGCAGTCTGATCAAGAAATGCCCTGAATCCTTCTGGGGGTTTACGATTTAAGGGTTGAGGGTTTGGTTTCAATTTGAAGCCCTGGCGCCAGTGGCAGTTTCCAGAAATAGGAGGAACCCTATATAGGCTCAACAATCGCATGCTGTAATCCGGATTAGAGGTACCCTCCAAAAAGGGACCGCTCATTTTTGCAAACCCCAATTTGGAGAGCCAGTCAGTTTTGGGAAACCCCTGTATTCTCACTGCTGAATGGCCTGGGCAGACCCTAAACCCTTAACCCTAAATCTTGCCTGCAGGCGGTCCACGGCCAAAAGCGCCGCCAAGACAAGACCCAGGTCGGTCGCTCCCTCGCTGACCACCTGCTCTTCTGAGGTATCGCAAACGTACGGTACTCTGGACCCCCAATGCCTGGACTCCGAATCCTCACACCTGAAAAACTGCAAAGGCCGTGCCTAACCAGCGGTATGAATGCCAAAGACATTCAATCACACGCACTTTGATCGGGAGGTTCGACCATCAAAAGCTAATCTGACCACTGCTACAACTTCCCAAAAGCCAGGCCCAAAGCCAACAATAAAAATCTAACCACTCCGCACCAATCCAATCTAATCACCCACACAACCTCTAACCACCAACAAGCAAATCTAACAGCTCTAACAATCCATTCTAACCACCAGCCCCTTTCCTTGGGATCTGACTGGGGTTCAGGATGAAGCACGTTGGGGCTAGGTCGGGCCCCCTTTTAGGAATAATGTAAGGAGACTGTACGACCATTTTCTGGTTCTCAAAGGTGGAAGTCGCTATAGCAAATTCCTTCCGGCAACCTTTGCGATTGCAGGACCAAGAACACCTTGGGAAATCCTTAATGGAACCTTAAAAGTGGCACTATAGTATATAGGGGTTATATAGGGGTTATATACTCTGGGGCAGCAGGACCACTGAGAATTGCATTTCACCAACTAACAACATCCCCCTGCTCCCCATTTTTTCCACAGTGCCGAGTGAAGCCCTCTGTTAGCTTCATAATAGGAACTCCATGTCTGCATGGGAAGAAGGAGCTGCCTGCTTGATTTGTGTCATTCCAATAGCGTGTCTGTATAAATGGTCGAAGAAGTCCTTGCCAGTCCTGATAGAAGCATGGGAGAACCCTGTAGACGTATACCAAAACGTACCCCGCGATTTCTACTACAGATTCCGTAGTGATCTTTTTGTTGGGCACTCAGATCTGCACAGGTCCCTGCGAAATTCACTGGAGACTACAGTGATTATATTGGGGTTATATTGGGTATATGCTGGGGTATATTGGGATAATGGAAAAGAAAATGGAAACTACAGTGATTATATTACATACGCTCTGTGAGCCTGGACATGGAGCGTGTCCGGCAGGCTTCCAGCTCCCCTGTCGAGTGAGTGGCGATTTCTATTCCTGCACAACCCTAAGTACCTTACACCTTGGGAAGTACGGGAGTTAAGTATACAAGAGCCATGCAGAAATTCTAGTCAAACAGTACTCTGCCCAAAAAGCCCTTGCATAAGAATTAGGGTGATAAGAGGGGCGAATGAATGCCTATAAACCCGCAACCAAGCCCAAAACCTTTGCTATAATAGTCTATCGTAGAGGCCTGAATAATTGCCTGCCTTATAATCCTTACACGATTTACTCTCCTCCAGACAAACTCCAAACAAAATCTTGGAACCCTGCTTAGGTCCCTCTTGAACAGACAGTAGTCTGCCAATGTCCGCTTTGCAGGCTCCATGTCATCCAAGAGGAGTGTAGTGTCTGAAGCTTCAGGGTGTAGAGGCTCAGGCGTCGAAATTCAAAGGAACGCCAAAGTCTCCATGACTTCACAATCATTTTGGAAATTCTTCAGGTGACCCGTGCTTCGAGAAAAGTCACATACTGACATATGGGCAGCTATACAAGACTTTCGGAGCCTGCAACTCGGGGGCTGTTTTCTAGCTCAAGCACCATTTAAGGTGAGGCGAGGTCGTCATAGTTTAGACATACGGCGGTGCAGGAACATCGGAGGTTGTAGCAGAAGGCCAGAAGATGGCATTACTTGGGGGTTCAAGGTTGGGTTTAGGGTTTAGACTAGATTCATGGTCAATCAAATTGAACATGAACTGGAAACCGGAATTATGTACTTACAAGGCATCTCATTATAACCTAGTTACAGCTGCAATTCAAACCCAAGTACGAGTATCACTGATCAAGGGACGTGCGGGGCTCTTGATTGGGTCATCAGTACAGGTATAACTGAGGTAGAAGCACCTGATTTTCCAGTAACACTAGGAAATTCGGAGATCCTCAGAAAACACATGCATCCTGAGTGTAAGAGACCTGAAGACCCATCTTAAAGATACAACCTTATCTCCGTCTCCGAACTCAAGGTAACGCGTGTAGGGTCAAGGGGAGTGGGCAAGTAGGTGAACAGCGCAGAACAATTGGGGCTGTTGATATGGCTTGTGGGGTTGTAGTTGTACCTCCTTAGTCCCCTGACCCGCGAAATACGTCTTCCCATCACAGCTACCCTGAACAGCTTCCCTGCTTGTGAGAACCCCCAAATCATTGTTCCACGTGCACTTGAAGCTCCAGTCATGGCCAACATTGTGCGTGTCCATAAGGCTTCGGGTTTCAGCCCATAGGATCTCAGGACTGTTTCAATCAGCAGCATCACTGGATCTCTCCCATATCTTTGACTGCTGCTTTTCTACTGCTCCTGCGTGCAGGATAGTACTGAAAATCAATCTGTATCATCCTTACATGCATCTGCTTGTCAATCAGATCTGGAACAGTAAGGTTCCCACTTAAAACCTGGCAGTTGAGGCTCAAAGTAGACATTTTTATGAAAACAAGCAAGACACCTCTTGTAATGCTCCCCAACGTCTAGCAATGAGGTCTACAGCATGCAGGAGTTCTCCAAAGGCAGCAAACCCAAATCAAAGCTCCAAACCCGAGTAGCAAGTGTAGTGAAAATTACTTGAGTAAAAATAACAACAACAATATGGTAGTTTCCCAAAATTAGGGGACCCCAATATAGACCCCAAAATACCATAGTCCTTATTATTTGGACCCCCAAAAAGGTACCCATGATTTTGGGAAACCCCCATATTGATAATGGCTGATCAACTTGTGGTCAGTATAATTCCGGAAAGACTCAGAGAAATCATACATCGTCTTATACCACCAGGCCTTCTAAGCGTTGCCTCAGCCACGGATCGCCTCCCAGCGTCCTCCACATGGAGCCCAGCATCCACACCTCAGTAGTAGGAACAATTAGGGTTTAGGGTGTAGGGCGTAGGGGTGGTAAAGAATAGTCATAATAACTATATTAACAACAACAAGAATGATTGCAACAAGAACAATAGTCTGCTGCTTGTGATGGTGGTGCTCGTGATGCTAGTGATGCTGGTGATGCTACTGGTAAAGTGGCGGCGTCAGCAGCGCCGGCGGCGGTTGTTTTTCCAGTAGCTGTCGATGTTAGCAACAGCAATAGAAGTAGCAGCAGCAGTTGCAGTAGTTGCTCTAGTTGTTGCCGTCACAAAAGAAGCAGCAGCAGCAGCAGCAGCAGCAGCAGCAGCCAGCAGCAGCAGCAGCAGCAGCAGCAGCATGTTCCCTATTTGCGTCTTAAAGCTCTGTGGAGTGCTAATCAGAAGCTTTGTATTCTCAAGGCGCATGGGGATGCGGGAAGGGTTGGGGGGCGATGGAGTGGGGTCGGGCAGTGGCTTGGCTGGAGGGCATAGTAACGTCCATTCGAAGCGCGCACATGCAAAAACGATTGGCAGCTATAGCATGCGCAACGAATGCTTTTTATGCGGGCCCAGCAACTCCCGCCACAACCCTCTTCTGCCTAGGCTCTTTACTACGTACCACCTACCCCGCATCAGCTGAGGGAACATAATCGGTAAGCAGGGTCGGCGACTCGTACTAGTGTTAATGCTAGACATATTCGTAGTGGTGTAGCAGTAGCAGTGGCAGTAGCAGTAGCAGTGGCAGCAGCAGTAGCAATAGTAGTAGTAGTAGTAGTAGTAGTAGTAGTTGCTGTTGTCGTTGTTGTTGGTTGTTGGTTGTGGTTGTGGTTGTGGTTGGGGTTGGGGTTGTGGTTGTGGTTGTGGTTGTGGCTGTGGCTGTTGTTGTTGTTGTTGTTGTTGTTGGTTGTTGTTCTTGTTGGTAGTTGGTTGTTGGTTGTTGGTTGTTGGTTGTTGGTTGTTGTGGTTGTGGTTGTGGTTGTGGTTGTGGTTGTGGTTGTGGTTGTGGTTGTGGTTGTGGTTGTGGTGGTTGTTGTTGTTGTTGCTGTTGTTGTTGTTGTTGTTGCTGTTGTGATCGTCGTCGCCGCCGCCGTCGTCCTCGTTGTGGTGCGCTTGTGGTTGTGGGTGCGGCTGTTGCGTTTGTAGTCGCCATCTTGATGGTAGTAGCAGTGGTAGTAGCAGTGGCAGCAGCAGCAGCAGCAGCAAAAGTGAGGTAGTAGCAGTAGAAGACAAAATAGCAACAGAAGAAGAGGCAGCGGTAGCAAGAGCAGCAAGCAGACCGCCAGAGCAGCTGCGTGATAAATCTAGACGAAACGGAGAACAGGCACAGTCATTCAAGGAGGATAAGAAGAGCACACGGGAGCCTCCTTAGGCTCAAAAAGGATTCTTTGCGAGCTAGCTTGTGCTCTAGGGTTTCTGGTTTGTGTTCTCGAGAAATTCAGGCAGGCGTGGCACAACAACGTAGAAGCTAAGAACTAGGGGACCAAGCAGCGCGGCAATGTTAGCAGAGCAGTTGTGCAAGTACAGACTTTGGTTGGAATACGACTCTTCGTATGAAAGGTCACAGCTAGTACTTCACATGAGTATTACAAGCTTCAGTACTAAAGTTGGTGCAACGGAGGTGAATCCATTTTCCACTCCCACAACACAAGGCCCCGGCCATCCAAGCTTCCCGTGACCTCAGAAAATCAAAACCCTGCAATACAAGGAGTTATATTGGGGTTATATGAGGGTTATATAGGGGGTTATATTGGGGTTACATTAAGGTTATATTAATGCAACACGATGATGCCGCAACAGCATGCGCTTCACCGACGTTCTACATTGTTTTTTGGAACTTCATATTCTGTGAAGGCTCCACAGAGTTTAGGGACCTCCCGAAAAACGGCCTCATCGTTTTGAGATCCCTCCCTATATACTCCTTTCACTGAGACCCTTAACTCTGTTCAAGACGGCTTCCTAGCCCTATTCACATTATCTGTACATTGTATAATAAATATTTGTTTATCTTTATATTCTACCCCTATAACTAACCCTAAACCCTAAACACCTTACAGGGGGCCCAAAGGTATCCCATCATCTTTCTCAGCATTCGCTGGGACATGCACCTGCAGCAGCACACCCAGGTTGCTTCTGAGTACGAAGCTGCCAGGTCCAACCTCTAAAGGCAGGGTCATATTGGGGTAATGGAAAATAAAATGGAAACTACTATTTAGGATTCTGGGTTTAGGGTTTTGGCTTTCTAGTTATGGCAGCTTGAGGGTTTAGGGTTTAGGGCCCTTTGGCTTTCGGATTTAGGGTTTCTAGTTCAAGCCCTTAAGCCTTAGGGGGGTGTGGCCCTTAGGCTTTAGGGTTTAGGCCCGTAGGCTATAGGGTGTAGGGTTTGTAGTTCAAGCCCTTCAGCTTTGGGTTTAGGGTTCGTAGTTTAGGCTTTCGGCCGTGGGGTTAGGGTCCAGGATGTAGGGTTTCAGCTTTAGCCCTGTAGTGTCTAGGCTTGCGGCTGCAGGGTTTGATGAGGGTTTCAAGTGTTTGCAGTTTAGGCTTGAGCTCTGGCAACCCTTTTTGGATGATTCTTCCTTCAAAGTAAGCCTTAAGGGCGTGAGGGCGGTTGGAGATGCAAAGCCTCCGGATTTTGGGTCCGCAAAGGGGTTTTCCGACTTTCATGGTCCCCATGCATGCATGCATGTTTTGCTCAGCGTCGCGCAAATTGGGTCTTCTAGGATTCCCGAGACAAACAGGGCGCAGAGGCTGATCTCAAATCCTACAGATCAAACCACCAACCCGAATCCTCGAAACCTCCGTCCCCCCGAAAAGAGCTTGGAGCCTGGTGCAATACAGATACTGCCAATAATGATAAAAATGATCCCCCATATATGCATATATATCCTATTATAATATAGTGGTTTCCATTTTCTTTTCCATTATCCCTATAACCCCTATCTACGATAATAATGGGCGATACTAAAATAGGTTGCCCTATAATTGCCCTATACCCTCCTATGTATCCCCTATAGGTCCTCACCCAAACTAAATTGAAAATAATAATGGGCCAGGCTTGTTTTTCAAAGGACCGTCATAGGAACCTAAGCTACGTACCACCCCTGCTCATCATCTAGCAGTATGTGGAGAATCAAAGGATGCCAAAGACATGGCACATAGTACGCCCCAATGTAGGACCTCTCGCGAGGTAAACGTTAAAAAGCCTGCCCTTGTGCTTCAAAGCTTCCGTTTGCACCCCCGAAATTGCAGTGAGTTTAGCATCCAGGGTTTGGTACGGTTTGGCTGCTCTGAGGCTGTCGCGGACTTCCAACGAAACCAGCTTGCTCGTGCCTCTGTCCATGTGAAGAGCGGTGACGAGTGTGATGGCTTCCGTAGAGGCGGGGCAGAGTCCGAATATGGGGCGCGTTGCAAGTAATCAAAGGCTCCTCGAAACAGGGATCCCTTTCCCAAAAGATCCGATGTGAGCCCTCTCTCACATGGTCAAACATTACGACAACAAACATTCCAGAGTTGCTAAGACACGCATTCTGTGGGGAGCTCACAAAAGCGCCGCAATCTTTGACATGCAAACAAACAGGAAACACTGCTGCAGGCCATCACTCAAACTGTGAGCACCTCTGCCTACCCGCCTTGAAGAGGTACAAGCCTTGTTGATAAAGCTACCCCCATCAAGCTTGTTTCTCGAGAAATCCAGGGCTGACTTGAACTATCTCCCTTCGCGCTGGTGAACAATTACCCTTAACTTAAGTCTTTCTTGCGAAGAGGAAGTACTAGAGAACAGTCCATTATAATTGGCCCTAAGCCCCTATTTTGTGTATCCTACTTTAGCGCTAGTCCAGGCCTTGAAAGCCTCCCACGCCAACGTCGCGAATGGAGTCTCACCGTTGCCCTTCAGAATTTCGCAGCTGCCATCCCCCTGGCTCAACCAAACTGTGCTGTATAGCAAAGACATATGTTTCTTCAAGGCGAACCCCTTTTTTGAAACTCACAAGTGATAATTCCAAAGCAAGATGTTATAGTGTGCAGAAAACAGAATGATGACATTCGGAGGAGCTGGCACATGAAAATGATGAGGTGAGGTGCGACTGGTACATATCACCTCCACTGCAATAAAAAGAGGCTGGGACTTTCAGTTAAGGCTTTGGCATTGACAAACACTCGGAATCATTTTCCCCGGCGAACTGGCACCCAGCAACCACTTCCAGACGCAATTGGGAAACATGGGGTCCACAACCTACGTGGGCTAAGCACGGGCCATTTCGAGAAACTCCTACTACGCGTTGCATCTAGGATCCCCTGCTATGTTCTGATTCATGCCCTTGGATGGCAATGAGACCTGGAGTTAGTCCACCAATTCACTCCTGAGCACTCACATCGTCATCATAACGACTTAGGGGATGTAGGGTGTTCTATAGGGGTTATATAGGGTTTAAGAGTTTAGGGTTTCCCAAATTTAGGGGTCTCCCAAGGAAGGGGGATCCGTGACCTCTCCCTCCAGGCCTCAAAGGAAACCTCGCAAGCTGCCAAGACCTTGGCAGAAAATACATGAGCTCTACCCAAAACTCTTTAAAGGGGGCATATAAAGGATTATATGGGGGACTACTATAGGGGATATTAAGGGAGATATGAGGAGTTTTAGACTATGGCTAACATCAAACTTACAGGTGGTCAGTAAGGAATGGAGGAATGGATCCATATAGCAGTCGTTATTGTGAACCCTCTTTGGGTACGCTATATGTTAGGCGCCATATAATAGTGAGAACCCAAAAGGGTCATAGTCTTAACAACCTACCATAGGATCTCTTGTAATGATTCCAGTATCCACCTCTGCCATTCCCCACTAGCCACCGGCCTGCTTAGTCGTATTTTAATCTCAGAATACAACCCTCATTGGGGTCATTCCCCCTTACAGTAACTGTTACCACAATGGGTTATAGGAGTTATAAGAACCCCCTTAATAAGACCCCTTTAAGGACAGTTACTGGGAGGGGGAATGACCCAAACCCTCATTCATAACATGGAACATCAAAAAAGAGAACCTCCATTTGCCTAGACGTTGTTCGGAAGCACCCCTGAGTGTCGTAACCCTATGGCTTCACTTCCAGCCAGAAATGAAAGAATCCTCCTTTCCCTACCAACCAGGGTTTAGTGGTTAGGGGTTGCGGCTTAGGGACCCTGAACCCCAAATAATGTTGTTATGTCTATGTTCTTCTCCGTTCCCTCAGAAGTCAGGGCAAGTTACCCTAGCCCTAAACTAAACCTACTGGCTCTTAGTAGGGAACAAGGGATAAAAATCCCTATAGAATACATCCCCCCTTAAACCCTACAAACCCTACGAATCCGAAACCCTAGACCCTTAACCATAAACCCTAATATTCCTAACCAAGAACCAATAAGTAAACCCTAAACCCTAAACCCTAAACAGTAAACCCTAACTTCGGGCCCTCGGGCTGCGCCATCTTGCCGGGCAAGGTTGATTCGGAGGCCCGAGGCAGCCTCCCGCTGAAGCCCAGCGTGGGTTTAGGGATTATGGAAACTACTATAATGGATTTTATAGGGTATAACATTGGGGTTATATTGGGATAATGGAAAATGAAATGGAAACTACTGTTTAGGGTTTAGGGTTTGCGGGGTTTTGGGGTTTGGGGTTTGTAGGGTTTAGGGTTTTGGGGGTTTGTAGGGTTTAGGTTTGTAGGGTTTAGGTTTGTAGGGTTCAGGGATAGGATTACTGTTAGGCAATTGCATGGAGATTATGCTATGGACTCTGTTTTTGGAGAAGGGGTTCAGGATTTGGGGCTTTAGAGGATTCTCATCCTTGACAGCGGCGTCGGGTGAGGTTTGCTTATAACATCCTGCGGTGACAATACATGTTGTGGGACAACAGCTAAAGGAAGGCACATGCAACATAATCATATGCAAAACCTCCACTTTTGCTACTGCGCACTAATCCAGACTCTGTCAGCATCTGTTATGCAGCCCTGCGCTGCTAGAAACAACTCTGAAATCTCTAACATGGAGAAGGTCAATGGAAATTATCATAGTCATACTGAGCTATCCAGCCGCATCAGCAACAAACGGTAAACATGCAAACAACTTTGCCAAGTAGTGGCCAAGCTGATAGCAGCCCGTCAGAGCCCTTCCCATTGGGTATCTCTCAAAGCTTTGCTCCTTGTTTATCATCGAATTTGGGCTCCGCAAACGAAGTGCTGCGCGGTTCTACTAGACAGACATACTCCACACCCTAACCGTGCCAACGCCTTGAACACTTGTTTTCGCATAGCTTGTTCATGCATGATTGCAGCCTTTGTGCAAACATGATTGGTACTGGAAGGTTCAGGGGCTGCTTGAAGTGGGGTTAGAAGTCCTCCGAACCAGGCTATAACTATAGCTATCCGAATTATCACCAGAATTATCTGATTGGAACCCCACTTTTCACTACTCATGAACCTCCAGGTGGAAGTCATCTTGCCCTTTGGACACGAGGCCACTTTGGGCCTGCATGAAGATGACTACCAGTGGACACAAGCACCACTATCTTGCAGCAAGCATCATACTTCATACTTCCGTAAAAAGAAGAAAGAGATCTGATCTCAATACATGTCACTTCTACACGACTTCATCGCGCCGCCCCAAGCTTGCGCAAAGCACTTGCAAATGATTCAAACCTGAACTTGGGCTGCACGCCCGTCTTGGAACTTCGCTTGCGCATCTTGCGCAAGGCTTTCCTTGCAACATGAGGAGGGAACTCCTCACCCTAAATGGAAAAACGTGCAGCCCCTACTTGCCTGCTGGCGTGCAGGGAAGGAAGGATCAGTGGCTGCTGCAATCATGCTAGGAGTTGATTATCGTAGTACAACCCTTCTTGGAGGGTCAAGGGGGCTCAGCAAGAAGGTAAATAATTAATGGGGATAGCTCGGGTTATCATGGCTCATACAGGTGTTAAGTATACCCCCTGACCCTATGCCCTGGACCCTTCCTACTTACGCCTTCCTTCCTTTCCAACGAACCAGCAGCCAGCTGGTAGTTTCCAAGAATAGGGGGACCCCAATATAGACCCCAAAATGCTACAGTCCTTGTTATGGTGTTACCCCCCGAAAGCCATCCCTCGTTCCGGCAAACCCCAATCCCGACATAAACCCAGTTTCCATGTCATTCTGAATTGTCTTTCCCATTTGACTCTCCTTCAGGGGCACTTTCCCTATATACCCCCCTAAGTAATCCCAATATGTGCCCTAGGACCAGTTTTGGGGCTAAGCCCTAAACCTCAAATCCTTAGGGAAACCCCCAGTCACTGCCTAAAGCAATCTGATGTGGCAATTGCTGCAGGCGGTGGAGCCTGCTCGCAGACAATTTGAAGTTTGTTTAGTAGGGAATTATATAGGGATTATCTTCCATCCTTCACCATAAGTAAGCCTTCCCTTCAGTAGCGCACTGATAGATTGAAGCAACACCTCTATCCGTCCAACAGAAGCGTTGATAATCGCTGACTACCACCATACTCCAGGTCGGGAGACGAGACATAGATGAGACATAGGGGCATGGAGCTAAATGCATGTGTAGTTTCCCAAACCAGGGGACTCAAATAGACGCCCAAACACTAGACTCCTTATTGTAGGGACCGCTAAAAAGGTACCCACCTTTTTGGGAAACCCCTAACTAGAATCATCTCGAGGCCCTGAGTTGCGCCTGCGATGGCAGACAGCTTGCACCACCGATGGGAACTTCCTCAAGTTGAGGGTTCAGGATGAGGATTTAGGGTTTAGGGTTTAGAGCTCAGGAAGTGGCTACGTGCACGCGGTCACAAGCATAAAATGTTGCTTGGCACGCATACCTTGAGCAGGATCAGAGTAAGCAAAACCTGCCTATAACTGTATGTGCAATCCGAGTATAAGTCCCCTTAAGTCCCCTTGTAGGGCTATAGTCCACCTCAACTAAACAGAATATGGAATTCCCCCAAATCATAATAAAATATCCATATACCCCATATTCTATCTATTTCAGGGGGACGTACCTTGACAAAGCCCCAGCTGGAAGCTCAGAGCCCTGCTTCGCCCTCCACAATTGTCAACGGATTGGCTGACCTGGCTTTAAGGGTTTAGGGTTTAGGGTTTTTAGGGTGTGGGCTTTTTGGTGTTTTTAGTGTTTAGTGTTTGTAGAGTTTCTGGTTTTTAGTGTGTTTAGGGTTTGGTGTTTTTAGGTTTTTTAGGGTTTAGGGTTTAGGATTTAGGGTTTTTAGGGTGTTTAAGGTTTTTAGGGTTTAGGGTTTAGGATTTAGGGTTTTTTCAGGGTTTGGCTGTCAACAGCCAGCCACTTTGGCGATGAGTTCTGTAAGGGCCAATCGATTTTATTTGGGTTTTGGGAAGAACTACAGTAGGAATGACATGAGCTATAGTCTAAACTGCTAGTATCCCTGAATAACCCCTATAATCCCTATGTAATTCCGGTCAATTCCGCCCAAGCCTTCCCGCCACAAGATCCCGTACTTCTCTCAGCCGAACACTCCCCACCAACAAGTTGACCCCAATGAGATGCGACTGAAACCTGTTTTGGGCTTATTTTGGGGGGTGCAGGTTGTTAGGGTGGGGATTGTACAGGACCCCTTGACTGTCAGATATCATCCAAGCAATGAAGTTCCTCTCCAAATTCCCTGCGGTTCAGGTTTAGGATTCATCGTTTAGGGTTTAGGAATTTCTCCTCCAAATTCGGTGCTGGTGTCTTTGAAGGTAACACGGTTCGGGTGTAGGGTCTACGGTCTACAGCAGAAGATGGGAAGCTGGAACATCAGTGTTCCCTAGAAGATGGGGAGTGAAATGTGGCATAAATTGCCATACTTCTATGCTCCAACTTTCTTCCCTGTACTGTAGAGGTTAAGGATATTATCCCCTTTTAAGGGTTTATCAAATGGAGAAGCGACTTGAAAATGACATGGAAAATGAGCCTATTCTTGCAGTCCAAGGTGCTCAAAAATGCGGTCCTCGTCCGTTGCTTGGTAAAGCATGAGCAATCCAGTCCAGGCTGTGCTGGCGCAGTGGATCATCCTCTCTTTTCGACCATCTACTATGAGCCAACTTGTGGCATTTGCAAATCATTCCCCAGCTTTTTTGTGTCAGGATCACTTTGGGATTCTCTTTTGGGCTTAGGCTTGAGACATAGAATAGGTGGTCTTCAAAAGAAAGGCCCGACCGCTGTGCGCAAGCCGTTTAGGCTTTAGGGTTTGAGGGGGCCACCGGCCACCACCGATTGCATACAAGCGAAAGCTAAACTCGAAGCACGTTCATCTTCTAAGTACTACAACTACAGCCAACGCCAACTAATGTCACCATCTGCTTGACATAGACCGTGAGCACGGCTCCTAGTACGAGCTATACCATCAGCATCTTGGCTAGTATTAGACTACTTGGTGTGACGAGCTCCTCAGGTAGGGGAAGCCCATGCCAGTGTCCGATCCACCAGGGAAGGGACCGTAGGCGTCATGCCTGGATCCAAGCTTTGTTATCTTCCTAGACAGATGTTCGCCACCAACCCCTACAAGCAGGTTTTAGGGGCAAGCTGAAAAGGGGTGCTTATGAATACCAATCCTCAAGTTGCAGGTGCATGCACTGACACTTGCAGCTATGACACGCATTGTACTGCTTGCCATTCCCGCCACGCACCTGGATCACAGAGAGCAAGATTGACAAGTCATGTGGTCCAGCGGCTACCCCAACAAAGATAGTAAATGTCCACATCAACCCTCAAATGAACCCCACATCCTCGGGTTGAGATAGAGCCCATTGCCTCCTGGCGCTAGGGGCAACGCCCTGGCTTCACAGGAAGCGCGGGCAAAAACTGTAGGTCTTTGGACCCCACAACTCGAAAGAACCTTTCCATTTCTTGAGCAACCAGGGTTGCCCCTAAACCCGAACCCTAAACCCGCTAAACGCTACCCTGAAAACCCCGCCCCGATGACATCATACGTTGAGCTATGCTTCTACCGGTGGAATGGCCTTCACTAGCAGGCTCTGGGGTATATTTTGAAGTGCAAATGCGTAAGGAAAATTACACGTTTATGCCTTTGCGGGAATCATGTATAATATCGGGGTTATGGTCCATCATGAAGAAAAATTCTCCCAGGAATATCCCAGAACTCGAGAGAGGTTCCTCAAACAGGATCTGCTCGAGGCTTCGTGGGCGACATGCAGACCCACGGGACAACATTGTGCAACTCCCGGTCGTGGAGAAACTGCTACCCCCTTGTGGCCCTTCAGGCTTCATTACTTGATACACAATACAAGTCATGATGTTGATAACTGCTATGAACAACCGAACTGCTATGAATAATCATCATGGTATCATAGAAATTATCTTCGCTTGAAGATCACATCCAGTTGCAGAGCGCAGCCTACTTCTGAGGCGTGCGCCGACGCAGGCACAGCGCCATAGGTCTTGAGAAGCGTCCGGAGGGATAGTCGGCTGGCGTTTAAGCGGTACTTCAGCCTCAGATCTCACATGTCCAAAAAACAAGGATGAAATCAGATTCTCTTACGTAGCTAAATCTCACAGCTAGAAACTCCTAAGCCTCACACCCTGAGCCCTCCGGACCGAACTCGGACACTCCAAGTTTGGCAGCTTGTGACATCCTGCCCACTTCAGGGATACAGGATTATTACCTCAATGCTGGAGAATCAAATGGAAAGGAACATGGAAAACCAAATGGATAATCACAGGGATTAGATGGGGATTGATATCGCATTCTCGAGGAGGATCCCTGCGCAGGAGCAACTTGTTCAAAGAAAGAACAACTTTGTAAACCATAAAGCAGGAACCACACGCCCAAAACTCCGAAGCCCTTGAGCCCTACACCCTGGAACCCTCAAACCTAGAGGCCCCAAACATCCCAAGGTCCTGATGTCAAACTCGGTTTAGGACTTTGGGGTTTAGGGTCTTAGGGTTTAGGTTCAGAGTTTAGGTTTAGAGTCCAGCGGCTGGAGGATAAAGTCCTCGTCGCTGCCCTGGGAGCGGTGGTAGAGGAAGTGGGCCAAAGCCATCCTCGGAAGACTGTTAGGGCTTAGGGTTCAGGTATATAACCCCAATGAGGTTATCTGGGGATCTATAGGATTATCTGGCTTCTGTATTGAGTCTATTGAGTTGGTGGGCTGAAGGTCAGGAGCTCTGAACATTGTGTTTTCGAGTATTTTCTACCGGAAGCAACTGTCGCCGCATCAGGCTTTGGGAGATAACCTTACGCCTTGCCCCCGCTGGAAGGAGTAAGGTGGTCTCGGAAAGGATAAAACACAGCTTCAACGGGAGTATCAGGTTTCGCCGGAGCTTTCGGTACTCTGGTGCAAGGCGCATTGTAGGATCTCTACTGACTTTCTCTGTTTTGAAGAGTCTCACCGTAGCTCTCTCGGCTTAGACAAAAGCCCTAAACCCTATACTATAGTCGTTTCCATGTTCTCTTCCATTATCCCTACATAACACCTATAGTATACCCCTGATATACTATAATGGATTCAAAGTGTCAATTTTTCCTTGACTCCCTCCTGCTGCCCTAAGGGTCTGCCATGCCGCAACTGCTACTAGAATGCCATGATAAACCCCTAGCTTCCACGTTCTTGTCCATTTTTTTCTCCAGTATTAGAGTAAAGCTCTATATAATCTCTATGTAGCCTTGTACTTGTGCTCCAAATCCCCGGAACCTGTAGATGTAAACACTGCCACCAAAGTGTCGCCGTGCCGGCGGTCTCTTCCCACTGGATGCCAAAGCCCTGCAGGTTGAGGGTTTAGGTCTTAGGCTCAAGCTGTCTACCTTGCTGGCAACTTTCCGAGAACACACTCAAAGCCAAGATTGCTAGAAACTTGAGTTTCGGCACACTCCCACAGAGAGTCTATGACCCAGGGCCCTGCCTTTGTTGTGAACTTCGTCCCATGCCTTGGACGCAAGACATCAGGAAAGGAGATGATGAGGTCAGCTGGGGGCGTTGGAAAGATTCGGGTGCCCTTTTAGGAGGATCCCTCATAATTGGCGCTGCTATGTTGCAGGATCTAATATTGCCAGGCCCTGTGCGGAGCAGTTCCAAAGCAACCAGCCCGAATAGGTTTGCAAACCCCGCGTGATTTTTGACTGTGCATCTGGCCTCCTCTAAGTCAGACTCAACAACGTGAGTTACGGACAAATCGATATTGCTGTCAGCTTCTTAGGAGTCTCTTGTGCAAGTTGTAGAAAATGTGTTCCACATGGACACGTTTTAGGGTTTGGGCCTTCAAAAACAGCCAAGAGGCAGGTGGGCAGGCGGATCCTTGCCGGACAGCTTGTCCACGTCATTGTCCCAGAGATAATCCTTCGTACGGGTGCGGGTTGGGGTCTGGGGCAGGCGCCACGCTTAAGTACGAACTAGCCTAGACAAGACAAGGTCAAGACCTGGTATGGAGACGGCCTCCCAGTAAACTATCCCGCAATCCCGCACCCTCGGCTGTCAGGGAATCATTTTTTGAAAGACGCGGCCTTCTTAACCCCTCTGCTCAAGCATTATCAGCACGTATCTGATGGCAGCAGATCAATGTTGGCCCAGTTACGTTGGAGTCGGGCTTTGCAGCTTGGAATTCGAGATTTAGATATCAGAGCTCTTACATTTCTACGGGCGGTGGACATGGATAATCTGTTGAACGCTCCATCTTCATGTGGCGACTCTCCCAGCTAACGCAACTCAAAATGGCGTGCCTTGTAACATGGCGACTTATCTCCTCCCCCAATATTAAATCCCCCGACCCCACTAACATTGAATATCCTAAGATATTAGAATATCCCACAATAGGAATCGTTCGTGCAAGGAGGTGGGGGTTCAAATCTTACTGGGAGGGGATTAATACGCGGGCCTAAACATTGAAACGTTGGGGCACATAGGACTGCAATGATGCAGCCAGTCTGTCATCAGTAAGGCTCCGGGTAAGAGTGTTTTTTTTGCTCCGCGTGTTTTTTGTTCTGTGTGTTTTTCTGCTTTTTTGTTCTGCGTGTTTTTTGTTTCTCTCTGGAAAACGATGCAACTCACGCAAAACATGCCCAGGCATGTTTTTTTTTTTTTTTTTTTTT